AGTCATGCTTCCACACATTGTGGTTTCTATCTGTCCCTTTCCTCCAGCACTTTTACCCTCAAGTTTATGATCATGTTTACCAGTGTGTGACATCAAATTTGGGTGTACAACCAAATTTGCATTTACAACCTGTGTTTTCAATTATTCTCTTCTTGTTCTGGAGCATCCACAGTTTACATGGTAGTGTCCTTAAAAGTGCCCCCCCCGATAGTTTATATTCACTTTTCTGTATATTTTTTTTTCTGTTCCTAGGACTCAATAATTTCAGTTGTCCTCTGTTCATACTTGCTGCTTTTCTATCTCATCATATGTGACTATGCATCAAATGACATTTTCATTTTAGTTATTTATATTTTTCATGCTATAATATATTTTGGTGCCATTTTTACAGTTATGGTCTCCTATTAACATTTTCATTTTACTCATATATTAACTTGTTTATTTTCTATCTTCCACTAGTTCTTTCAATTTTTTTTAGTTTAGTTTTGCAGAAGAATGGATTTCAATTTGGCATATTCTTACAAATATGGCACCTACTGTGATCATATCCCTCCCCCATTATACCCTTTCGCTCTCCTCAAATAGTCTAACTTTTGCCTTAAGGATTTTCCTTTTCTGTCTGTTTATATTTCACATATGACAGAAAATGTGACACTTGTGTTTGAGCCTGACCTTTTCACTTAACATAATGGTCTCCCATTTTCATAGTACTATGTGTACAAACTAATATTCTCACCAACGATCTGTAAGGGTTGATTTTCGTTCCTTACATCTTCACTGGCAGTTATGGTTTTATGTATTCTTGATAACAGGCATTCTGAATGGGATGAGATAGAATCTCAATATAGTTTGGGTTTGCATTCCCATGATGGCTAAAAATGTTGAACATTCTTTTCATATATGTGTTGGTTATTTGTTACATCTTTAAAGAAGTGACAGTTTAGTTCATTCACTCATTTATTAACTGGTGTAATGGATTGATAACTGGTGGTCAACTTATAACCCCCAGCTGAACTGAGTAAG